AGAGTGACAGCGACAGAGAGAGAGAGAGAGACAGACAGAGAGAAACCTATTGTGAGAGAGAGGACAAAGAGAGAGAGAGTGACAGAGACAGAGAGAGAGAGAGAGAGACAGAGCTGGTCGGCTACAGGAACCCTCGCCTTAAGCTTCCCCTCGACACAACTATCCTAACACCTTCCCGAGGAAGTGGTATGCCTGCTGTGAAGAGAGGTATGTTTTGGCTGGTTGCTGTACGTTTGGTAGGGACAGAATTCTGATCGCAGCTGCCCACTGCGGCCTACTCAACAGGCTTCAAGCCAAGGTCAGCCTTTATGGTGAAAACAAGGCGTCTCACACTCCACAAATCATGCAGCCTCAGGGACCATGACAGAAGTGACACACAAAAATGAAACAGTTTGCAAATCGAGGTGTATTTTTGGAATTTATTTCAGTTCTTTACAAGGTCAGGACGATTACAATGTACAGACAGACTATATACACAAGCGGCATTCATGGTGGTGTTTATGGAAACAGTGGCGGCCAGTATGATACATTGGAATTCATCGAATGACGGAATAATATAGAGGCCGTTCAGCCCACTGTGGATGCTGAACTAGAAACAGCCTCTGATCACTCCCTCTCCCACGCCGATCTCTCAAAAAACACCAACACCCGCTCCGTGGGTGCGTGGGGAGAGGAAGTGATGGTGAGCGAACTTTGATGATACCAGTGTTGGTTTGCTTAGGTGAACAGGCAAAATAAGGCACTTTTCCGAAATCGTCTCCAAAGCATGGGGGCGTTGGGTCTCACCCTTCTGTGCAGGAACAGGCCCTTCGTACAGAGACAGGAGTTCCGGGAGGGGGGGGCACCATTCGGCCACCCTGGCCTGTTACTACATCCGAATGGATTTCTTAAATGGTTGGAGGTTGGAAAGCGTGGATGTACAAAAAGGGAATTTATCAATCTCTGAAAGGTAATGCATAGCAAATGGTTTCGAGCCTGGCGCCAGCAAAAGTCTTGCTTTGATCATCACAGAGCTTGGTTAGAGAATGCACGTGCGCTTTCGGTCTCCTTAAATCAGGAAGGAAGGTGGAGAAGCTTTGAAATTCTATACCCCTGGGGCCCGAGGAAGCTCAGTCTTTGAGGATGTTGCAGGCAGATTTTGAGAGATTTCTGATGAACAGCAACGGAGCTGGTCCAAGACGTCAAAGTGCTGAGTGGTAAGGCTATCTCGATGGGCTGAATGGCCTACCGCTGATCAGCTCCGGCTTCACCACCCTGTTTTCCCTTGGGGTCTGGAAGGGAACGTGGCCTCGTATAGGCTCAAGTTCAGTTTGGAAGCGGGGTCTTTGTTTGGCACCGTTGGCAACCCATGCAGCTGGTTTGGTGGGCAGAACTCAAATGGCGGTGCAGGCACTGAGGCATCATAAGGGGCCACAACGCACCGCGAGCTGGGTAGAGAAGGACTGGAGGGCATAATGTGGTGGCGGTGTTGGGTTGGGGGAGTTGGTTGGAGTGGCATTGGTCGGCATATGGGCCCATGGTGGGCAGGTGAGGGACAGGCGATGGCTTGGGGTGGCACAGATATGGGCGCAAGGTGGTGGGCGCGGGCTGTTCTACGTTTGGTTCTGTTTCTTTTTTAAGGAAGAAAATACATTCCTCAACCAAGTCTCAGGGCAAGGTCAAAAGTCACATGACACCAGGCTGCAGACCAACAGGTTTATTTGAAAACACTAGCTTTCGGAGCTCAGCTCGTTCCTCGGGTGCAGCGTGGAAGAGAAGATATACCGGCACAGAATTTATAAGCAGAAAGCTAACAACCCTACAAACAGCTCACTGGCTGCCTCCTGTTGGATCTTTAATCTGTCAGGACGGAAATGCAGGTTTCCACTGATTCAAACACAAATCCCAGAATTTCTTTCAAGTCACTGCCCTGAGCGAATTAAAGGTTTTATCAGTGTATACGCGAGGTGACATCTCAGGTCAGGCAGCGCCAGGCCTTATTTAGAACCCGGCTGTGTTTTAATCTGGATTCAGACCGGTTTCGTTTTTTAGTTTGTGAGTGAAATAGAACGCATCTGCAAATACTCAAACATCTTGTGTTTTCAAATAAACCGTAACCTGGTGTCGTGTGATTTCTGATCTCGTCTGCCCCTGTCCAACGCCAGCTCCTCCTCATCAAAGTCCCACTGCATTGAGGTCAACCTCTGACCCGTTTGCAAACCCCATTCTGGCTCACTGGTGTCCCTTTAGACGGGGAGATCTGCCGCCCTTCCCTAGTCCGGGCCCTACACGTGACTCCAGGCGCCCTCAGCCACGCAACTGCCTCCCAACCAGCCTCCGAAACAGCTTAAAGGGACCCTTACAAGTCTCTGGTACGTCCTAGAGTCACACCGCACAGAAACAGACCCTTCGGCCCAACCAGTCTGTGCTGACCATAATCCTAAAATAAACTAGTCCCACCTGCCTACACTTGGCCCTTATCCCCTCCAAACATTTCCTACTCATGGACTTATCCAAATGTTGTAGCTATACCTGCATCCATCACTTCCTCTGGCAGTTCATTCCACACACGAAAAAGTGTGAAAAATTGCCCCTCATGTCTTTTTTAAACCTTTCTCCTCTCACTTTGAAAGTAGTCTTGAAATCCCGCACCCTCGGGAAAAGACATCTGCCACTCACCAATGCCCCTCATGATTTTATAAACCTCTTTAAGGTCACCCCTCAGCCTCCTACGCCCCAGTGGAAAAAACTCCCAGCCTCTCCTTATAACTCAAACCCTCCAGTCCCAGCGATGTCCTGATACATCTCTTCTGAACCTTCTCCAGCTTATTAATATCCTTCCTATAACAGGGCGACCAGAACTGGACACAGTGCTCCAGAAGAGGCCTCACCAACGTCCTGTACAACCTCAACATGATGTTCCCAACTCAAAGCTCTGAGATCCTTGATTGACGAAGCAGATATATAAAGTGTACAAGCACAGAGTTCGACTTGGGACGTCGAAATGGAGAAAGAGGCGAACAGGGGATCGAGATGGATGATCTTCCCATGATCCTAGCCCAGCAGGCTGGAAGAGGTGTGCACCTTACTCCTGGTTCCTTCAATTCTCTTCTCCCCAAGACCGCATTCAACAGACTTGGGGAACGTTGTTGGGAAGGTTTGGAGGCGTCAGTCGGGAAATGGACCATACAGTTGAGTTCTCTGCGCGATCCAGGGACGCAGGTGTTGGAAAGTGTGCAAGGTGTGGGGTGGGGTGTGGTTTGGGGGTTTAGTCAGGAACTGAGGCCCGGAATATGGGGATCGTCCATCTGTTGAGTCTCTCGGCATCGAGGCCCGATGTGTCAAATCCTGATCGCTCACCGCGGTGACCGGGAATTTGTTCGTTCTGTGGCCGAGAGGGATCAAGTCACGTTGCCACAGAGGCTTCCTGTGGGCGAGGAGAGATAGAGAGAGGTGCGAGACATCAGTAGCCTGCTGCAGAGGGATGGCTGGATGTGTTTGTCCTTGTCGTCGCTTCCGAGAGGGAGAGCAGGCGTGAGGAGAGACCAGTTTGCCGAGTTGGATGAGGACAGGAATTGGCTCGCTACTGGCACTGGAGTAGCGCCTTGACAGGCAACGGCCTAGTGGCATTGTTGCCCTGAAGTTAATCTGGTGACCGCAGTCTGGGAGAATCCGGGTTCGGATCCCGCCGCGGTAGGTGGTGGAATTAGTATCTGATTCAAATGCAAATCTGGAATTAAGAGCCTAATTGTTTGTGAGGGGTGGACGGGAAAACCCATCGGGTTCACTAATGCCCTTTAGGGAAGGAAACTGCCATCCTTACCTGGTCTGGGCCTACACGTGACTCCAGACCCATAGCAATGTCTGGTTGACTCCCAACTGCCCCCTAGGGCAATTAGGGATGGGGTAATAAATGCCAGCGGTGCCCACATCCTGTAGATGGAAACTGAGGGGGACATGAGCCCACACAGAGGGCATGACTGGCACCGACTCCCGGTTGGAGGGGTGGGTGGGGAGAACACAGGCAGATTGGCACCACTGATGATAACAGCCGGGGATGGAGTCCTCAATGCCAAGTGGTAGGCAAGCTGTGCCCACAGTGCAGGGTGTTGTACCCGCTCGATGAGGGAGCAACGGAGGGACTGCGAAGAGGGAGAATGGCTGCGCTGTTACCGAGGCGAGGACCCTCAGCACAATGTTGGGATGGCCGTGTGAGCCATTTTTGCAAATGGCGCTGAGGTCAACTATATGGGGAGGGGGGGTCAGCGAGCGCGCCTGAAGACATTTTAACCAGGCCCTGCTCACACGTGCACCTACCATCTCTAGCCTATCGCTGATCCTGAAGGAGAGGTACACGGGCTGCAAGAAGCGAGGGAAGGAAACAAAAACAAATTAGAAAGTTATTTATCACCAGCGAAGCCCAGACATGGCTCAGCAGTGAGCCACGCAGTTGTGAGTTCAAGTCTCGCTCTAGCGGCGGTGGGTGAGACTTTGGAAAATTAATTTTGGTTCAAAAATGACGTCTAGAATGAGAGAGCTGGTCTGATCTTCGCACAATCAATTCTCGCAGAATCCCACCTAGTTTCCAACCCCATCCCATGCTGGGCCAGCTTTCTGCTTCCAGAATTATTCTGTCTCCTACACCAGGAGTCTGCACCTGTGCAGCATGGTGTAGAGGGAGCTGTACTTTCAGTTTAAAAGAATAGAGGGTGCTTTAGTCTGTGTCTAACTCTGTGCTGTCCCTGCCCTGGGAGAGTTTGATGGAGGGGACAATGTAGAGGGAGCTTTACTCTCTATCTAACCCCGTGCTGTCCCTGTCCTTGGGAGTGTTTGATGGGGGACAGTGTAGAGGAAGCTTTACTCTGTATCTAACCCCGTGCTGTCCCTATCCTGGGAGTGTTTGATGGGGGACAGTGTAGAGGGAGCTTTACTCTGTATCTAACCCTGTGCTGTCCCTGCCCTGGAAGTGTTTGATAGGGGACAATGTAGAGAAAGATTTAGCCTGTATCTAAGCCTGCGCGGTAGTGTCCTGGGAATGTTTGTGTTTAAACTAGAGTCCATATTTGAGTTTGGAGGCATGATTGGGTCTCGACACCTTGACAAGCCTCTCAAAGTTGACAATGAGAACATACCAACTCTGGGACAAATATCTCTCACCGTCTACATAATCACTGCTCTCAAACCACACAATTTCGAAAAGACTACGACTAATAGATTTTACCTTGTGGTCACCCATACAGACTGACGGTCCCACTAGGTCATACACGTACTCTCCCTAAAAGACAAGATATTGAAGAGCACAATATTCAATTCCGATCAATTAGCATCATCTCCCCTGTCCTACTCTATCTCTATGTCAGGTGATGGCAGCAAACAAACTTCTTCGCAGTTCAAATTAACATGTTGTGAGGTGTCTTGACAACATGAGATCCCTGTCTCCTGATCCACTGCTGCGGAAGTACCGTCTCATCGGTTTATTTTGTTGCTGCGAAGAGGCTGCGATGGAGGCAGTGCTATCCCAGCATTCAGTGTGCTGCTGAAAGGGCTCTACTAACATGACAGCCCCTTAAAGGGGCAGCGGCCACTTTTTAAGAAGATTCGCTCACAGGATTGGGGGGGGCACCATTGGCTGGGCTCAGAATTCATTGGCCGACCCCCCCCTCAGCCGAGCCCCTCCATCCTCAATGATCTGATGTATTTCAATTATTTTCTTCTGAAACCTAGTGGATGCACCCTGCTCAATCCACACCCTTCCCACTCCACCACCGCGCCCCCCCAACCTCCAGCCCAACAAAGAGAGCCCCAGGGATTGAGCGAAGCTCCAGGATTGGTGGTTACCTTGGCGACGATCTCTTTGGCGCATGGCGACATGAGGATGCGGTCGCACCAAGCTGGGCAGCGGGTGTTGGCATACTGCGTGCCTTCAGTGTTGACTTCGCTGTAGGGGTAACTGAAGGAAAGACACAATCATTGGCTCCGTTAGGGACCGAGGTGACATCTCCCGCGTCGCATTGCCCCCGGAGGTTGGGGGGTAGGGGGAAACAAGATTCCGCGAGGCCACGCCCGGGGCTCCAATACAGAAGGAAGGAGGCTTAGAAAATAAGAGCAGGAGGAGGCCATTCGGCCCTTTGAGCCTGCTCTGCCCGATCACAGGCTTGCCATCCAACTCAGTTCCCCTGTTCCCGTTTTCTCCCTTTGATCTCTTCATCCCTGAGAATTATATCCGACTCCTCATTGAAAACCTCCACTGTTTTCTTAGGGCAGAGACTCTCCCCTACTCATTGGGCAAAGCCATTTCTCCTCATCTCAGTCCTACCCCGTATCCTTAGACTGTGACCACGCCCCCCCCACCACCGGGTTAACCCCCACCCCCAGCCCTCCCAGTCATCGGGAACATCCTTTACCCTGTCTAGTCCCTGTTAAGTTTGTATGACATCCCTCCTCATTCTCCTAAACTCCAGTAAATATAATCCTAACCCGATCCGGTCTCTCTTCATCCGTCAGTCCATGCCATCCCGGGAATCAGTCTGGGAAACCCTTTGCTGCTCTCCCGCCATCGCCAGAACCCCCTCCCCTCAGATAAGGAGACCCCCCAAACCTCCCACACTCAATACTCCAGGGTGCGGTCTCTCCCTGTCCAACTGCGGAGAGACATCCCTGCTCCTGTACTCCAATCCTCTCGCCACCAAGGAGTCAACGTCCCATTGACCTTCCTCATTCCCTGCTGCTCCTGTGAGGCTGATTCTCAGCAATCACTGAGCTGTACAAAGAGGCCATTCAGCCTTCAGCAGCGCTGTGACTGACCCGACTATAACCTCAAATAGGTGACCATGTGCCGACGTTTGCCCCTGGATTACTGTGGGAGTGGGAGCTGGAGAGATGCCACAGAAGGAGCGTTTTGAGGGACCTGGGACACTGCAGCTAGTTCTGATGCCAAAGGGCTTGGCTGCACAGCGCCCAGAGAGAGAGAGACAGATGGAATGTTTCTGAGAATGAGTTGTTTGTGGGACATTTTTTTTTGCTTGTACTTTTGGAGAGTTTGTAAACGAAGCAGGCAGCGGGTGAGGGAACAGCAGGTTGAGGTCGGAGAGGGATAACAAGGAGGGTGAGAAAACAGTAAGCTGACCAGATTTGGGATGAGTGGGAAATTAATAACGTTGATGTTACAGTGTCACAGTGGCTCAGTAGTTAGCACCGAAGCCTCGGGGCGTCTGTCTGTGCGGAGTTTGCACCTTCTCCCCACTGTGTGGGTTTCCTCCGGGTGCCCTGGTTCCTCCCACAGTCCAAAGATGTGCAGGTTAGGGTGGATTGGCTGTGCTAAATTACCCATAGTGCCCAGGGATGTGCAGGTTAGGGGTGGATTGGCTGTGCTAAATTACCCATAGTGCCCAGGGATGTGCAGGTTAGGGTGGATT